ACGGATGCAACACACGAGTTGCTCAGGTTGCTCTACAGCCAATCCTTGAATGAAACGGCGATCACGCTATTCGCCGCCTCCGTTCCGGTTTGTCACTAAGAGCTACCAGACTACACTATCCTGCTCCCGTCGCAACTTGCCGATCGCTGAAGGACTTTGTTTTCGTATAAAAATTGAAAATGTATAGGGGCGAGCCATTTTTTTTTTGCGACACCCCATATATAGTATAGGTAAGCTCGTAGGTTCAAGAAATTTAGCTATTCGCTTGATAAGCACTGCACAAGCAAGACGTCAAAATATTGCGACAACTAACCGAAAAGGTCGATAATGCAACTTCAAGTTTTTCAATCGCTCTTCACTCAAATTATACCTAACACTTCCAAACAAATTTATATAAACAAATAAATAGAAATTAAATTCCATGTTTATATGAATAAGTATTAGTTCCATCCGATACGTTTCAGCTGCTTACGATTTGAAATAGGCAGCCAATAAAATACCTATTATCTATTATTGCATGTGAACTGATAACTGATAGATACGCCAAAAAAAGTCAATCACAGCCATCAAATCACAGCAGCTTTTTGAAAATAATTTTCAATTATATTGACTTATATGATTTATGACTTTCCCCGATTAACAGATTATTGAGATTTACACGTTATTGACGACTATACGTTATCAAGCAGAAACTATACCTACATATAGGTACAATGAAATACAATTTCAATTCTAGATAGTTTTCAATGAAACAAGAATTTCGGAAATGTTTTTTTTTTAAATATTGCCAACCCCAAAAATAGCACTAGTTTCCCTTTTTTTGGTTATATTATTAATTTCGCACAAAATTGTAGTCTCAGATGTGCCTTTTGCAGTCCGATTCTTGAATAATCTCGCATATGAAATTTGAAATGATTTCGAACGTTTCCTATGAAAATAGCACTATCCAAAGAACAAAATTAAGAGGTTAATAATTCTCTATCAAGGGGCTGAAAATTTTCTCATGCCACTTGCCTGATACCTAGGTAATGTTCCGGCGATTCTTTTATTTTTAAAATATCTTTGCACATTTAGGAAGAAAAATGGTAAAAGTAATAAAACTTATTCCTAGGCAATATGATAAAACACCGTGTCACGCAATTTAATTTGGAATGTGTATTCAATTATCTCTTTATATTATACCGGGTGTTTTCCAAAATCCGCTCACCCCTATAACTTTTTTATTTTTCCAAATAAACAAATGAAATTTGGTGTGTTTATTTATGACCCGGATGTGCATTATTTGACGTATTCAGTTATTTATTATCAGTTCCGGTTTGACCGGAAGTGACCGTAACTTTCTTATTTTAAATGAAACGCCAGGTATATTTTTCCACCTCATTTGTCACTTTTTGACATTTCATCTCCAAATTTTTTACTTTTTAATCTAGAGCGCCATGAATTAGTTAAAATGCTTAATTTTGCTCTAAGGAACCTGGGAAAATTTGTTTTGATCTTATTTTGTATTTTATATCCTCAACAGACTCATTTAAAGATAGTGGAAGCGCATTTTTGGAATTATATCAATTTTTTCAAATGGAAATGGTATGGCTCATTCATTAGCATATTCCGAGAGAGCATTTCCTAACGAACAAATTGGTACCACACAATCGCTAGTTTATTCAAATATTAAACTGAATTTTTCCAAAAATATTTAGAATGCTAAAAAAATTCTTCATTTGAGTGATGAACTAGCGATTGTGTGGTACTGAATTGCTCCTTAGAAAACGCTCTTTTGGAATATTGTAATGAGCCACACCCTTTCCATTTGAAAAAAATGAGATAATTACGAAAATGCACTTCTACTATTTTTTAATGAGTCTGTAGAGGATAGAAAATACAAAATAAGATCAAAACAAATTTTCCCAGGTTCCTTGGAGCAAAATTAAGTATTTTAACTAATTCATGGCGCTCTAGATTAAAAAGTAAAAATTTAAATATTTTGAAGATGAAATGTCAAAAAGTGACAAATGAGGTGTCATTGTACTCCATAATGTAGTTTTCCACTGAAATCAGGAAAAATATACCTGGCGTCTCATTTAAAATAAGAAAGTTCTGGTCACTTCCGGTGAAACCGGAAGTGATAATAAATAATTGAATGCGTCAAATAATGCATATCCGGGTCATAAATAAACACACCAAATTTCATTTGTTTATTTGGAAAAATAAAAAAGTTATAGGGGTGAGCGGGTTTTGAAAAACACCCGGTATAAAGTTAAATTGGTCCTAATTCTCAATCATGCAAGCCGATATATTGAAAAACTCAGAACAGCTTTTATCGATAGGTTTCATGACACTTGCTTTTCGATAACTCTGACCAAAATTTTTTTATTTCAAAAGCAGAAAGGGTATCTGGCTAGAAGTTATTGTTCCAGAGGGAGAGAAATGGTAATATTGCAGAAAAACGATTAAAATCACGAATAATATAGCAGGTCTTGCAAATCTATTCAAAAAAACATAACCTTTTTTTATCATCATATGGAAGTTCACATAATTTTTCACATCTTACATCGTTGATAGACTTTTTAGATGCAATTTAGTTGAACTTCTTTTTCTTCAGTATTATGGATTGCAAATATTTTTTTTGCTTTTAGGTAAAAAGGGAAACACGAAATGTGAATTGCATGTTAACTTTCAACAAAAGTTCGTCACATTCACACCCAAAATGCCGCCCTTTAGATTTGTCGCCCCGGACTAATGTTCGTCCGTTGCTAGCTAGAGCGGACAAGTTGTATCCACCATCGCGTTCATTTTCAGATAATTCAAAATCACATACTTAGTTCGTTTCTCGATACATTTTCACGAACACAATAATTTCACATAGTGTGGAAAATTCAACTGAAATGTAATAAAATTCTTGTTCATTTTGGAAAAATTATAAATAGTGCCGAAAAAATTTTGATGATGGCGCCACAAGCAGTCAATTCGCCGATTTTGATTGGTCACATTGAAGAAACATGATGGAGTAGGTATAATTTTTTTTGGATCTTGTATTATTCGTCATTGTAGTTTCAGCCTTACAGCAGTGGTACCTATTGAATGCCTGATCTAATTTTCAAACGTCATTATTTTTAGTTCAAAAAATCAAAGGAAATAACTAGCAATGCTCATATTGGATCATTTTGAAAAGCATTTTTGAATCTGATAGCTCACTGTTGTTCGCTAACTAAATACATAGAAAAATTACATAAATAAAAATTAAATTTAGATATTATTATGTAATTTATGTAGGCAGTAGGCAGGAACATATTTATAATAAGGGCTGATTTGTTTATAGTTTTTCCTTATTATTTATCCTCATTCTCAATGTAGCTATATGTACAGGGTCAGTCTTAGTGCGATTTCTACAACTCGAACAAAATAAAATAATTAAAAAAATTAAATAAGTACAAAAGTTGTAGGGTTTTATGTCTATTATCTTTTGTGCATGTCAAAACGGGCAAATAACAGGTGCCAACTGTCATAATGACAAACACATTCCATTTTTCTAATGGTTTCAACCTGTATATTTTTGGCTAGAATGATATGTGAAATATGTGTAATATGGCCGACAATACGGTAGTATTTACATGGTTGTCAGATCTTTCGTTTTCCGGAAAATATCACAAACTTTGTTTTTTCAAATGGATCACTCTGTATATTATGACATTTATGGATTTTGCGGAAAATTCTAGACATATTTCATGTACAATGTCATATACCTATCTTCGACTGTTTCGAAAATATGGACAGCTGAAAATTGACTTTATAGCAAATTTGACATCCTACTGTAAAATCTCAACGGTTGATTTTACAGCAAAACCGATCATATAATTTCAATGAACTTATAATTCTTATCATAGTTTTTCATAAACTTTCATTCGACACTAACTTTGAATTTAACCGGAGAATAAATTTAACCAGACTTTTTAATCATGAATCATGGACTCTAACTCACTCTGTATGTTAATATATATTTTTTTTTGTGATTTATTTAACTTTTAAGATTTTTTTGAAACTCAAATAGTGCAAAAATAACTGAACCAAATATCAACATATATGGTAAGTAGGTATATTCATCACATGAAAAAAAAACCTTTGCTCTAGCCAAAAATAAACAGGTTCTTCCATTAAAAAAAAAATGCATGTGTTTGTCATTATGACAGTTAGCCCCAGCCATTTTCCCGTTCTGACATGTGCAAAATATAATAGAGATAAAACCCTACAACTTATGTATTTAAATTTTTCTGTATTTTTTTCGGTTCAAGTTGTAGAAGCCGCACTAATTATAAGGAACAGACAAAACATTTGAAAATAACTACAAAAGTGTTTCTAAAAATAATCCCAATATGCTTCCACCCAAGATAGCTTATCAGTTAAATTTAAAGTAAAGGTAAAAGTACTTACAAATTGATAATCAATTATTTGTATGCCCATCCAATAATATTTTTATTTGTCTGAAATGAAATAATTGTGATTCTGAACAGTAACGTACTATTAGGTTTTAATAAAAGCAATACTTTTTTTTTCATAAATAGACATTTATATTTTGCTGCCTACAACTTTGTTATAGTATTGAATTTAACAATAGTCTGGTTTCAATAAATTTCTTTCAAAATATGGACACTTTTCAAAAGTGTCAAAAATTACTTCCAATAATTTAAGACCGCTGATCTATATAGAGTTACTAGATTGTCATCAAAAAAACTAATAGTAACACAAAAGCTGTTGAAATCTTTTTTCCAGGTAAACCGGCATCAGGAAAAAACTGACTAGTAAATCTGTAAACAAAAAAGTTGTTTTCGAAGTTTCTGCATAATATGTAGGTATCTACAACAAAATTAGCACGTGTGATTTGATACAACGGAAAAAATCATCTATTAAACTGGATTTTACCGTTTACATGCAACTTGCATGTAATTCAAACCTTGATCTGAACGAGTTTTACGGTTAACATTACTATATTATTGTTTCCTTTTCAGACAAGTACAGCAATCCGAAATGCATACCATAGCGCAAAAAAAAATCTTGTTCCGAATATAAATTTTGAAATCAGAACTTACGACGATGGCTGTAAACCTGAAATAGGTCTAAGTCAGGTAATTGATGCGAACGAATGGTGTCCACACGTGATCTTTGGACACACTTGTGATTACACTTTGGGTAACGCATTAGTAAACTGCCATACAAACAATAAAATAGTTCATACAATATTGTTTTAGCGAGTGTTGCAAGAGTTGCCAAGCTTTTGGGAGATACAGGAGCTCCACTTTTATCTCCAAGTGGTTTCACCTTTGATTTTACATCTAATAAAAAAGTTATATTAGAAGATGAATTTTACCATCTTATCAATGTGGGTCCTGCTGGATATGCATCATATGCCGAGTTTGTGCATATGTTGTCTGACAAGTAAGAATTTATAACCAATATTTGAATGGCGAATTTATTAAAACAGTAACAAGTTTGTTGCTTACTGTTTCCCAGTGTGTAGATTCCTGAAATTGTCCCAATAAGATTTAAGATTTTTTCAGATACAATTGGAAAAAGTTTGCGTTTATGTACGAGAAGCAAGATTATTATGAAATCGGTGGAGAATCAGCATGCTATTTGGTCTCAGCTACAGTTGTAAATGAATTGAGTGCCGATTATCAATCTGGAGATTTGAGAGTATTTAACGTGAGCTATGAAAGTTTTCTGCGAGAAAAAGTTGGTGTAAATTATGGAGGTATGTGCTGTGAGGTGAATATGGTTAAATAAACAAATTTATTATTTTTTAGTTGTACTGACATGTGCAAATCATACCAATATTCGTGATATAGCCATCTCCGCTGCAAAAGTTGGAATGGTGGATAGAAGAGAGTATTTATTCATTAATTTTGCTTTGTATAATAAGTAAGGAATTACATTTGAAATTAATTTTTTGGCTATAAGTTATCCTCCCTATTTTCAAGTGCACCAGATCCCTCAAGACCATGGTTTGATGAAACTGACACTGATGAAAATAACCGATTGGCAAAAGAAGGTTTCAATATATTTTTAACTTTCTATCCATACAAAGAAATTTTATTTGATGATGTTAAAAACCAGTCTTTTCGTGGATCGTATTATTTAGATTCTGTATACAATAGCATGCTTATGTACATGCAAACTATTAAGAATATGGGTGGAGATGAGTCACCTTCGCAAATACGTGGATGTGATATTGTGCAAAATATGATGGGAAAAACGTATCAGGGTTAGGATTACCATTTATTTCTATGGTGTTCGGCTATGGTATGCTATTTCTTTAGGTTTCGATGGAGAAGATATAACCTTTAACTGTAATGCACAACGGGTATCAGATTATGCAGCGGTCATTCAAGATGAAAATGGGATTTCTAAAATAATAGGTTTATTTTCGTCAAAAAACAGAACTATAACCTATTGGGATCCAGGAGCTTTTGTGTTTCCTCCTGATGTACCTGAATGTGGTTTTGATCTCTCAAAATGTCCTAGTAAGTACCTGCTTCTAACATTCTTTTGTTTGCGGGTAGAATCCACACTTTCACGTTTATTCAATTTTTGAAAGCTGAATCATTTCGCAGTAGTGCCATAAAGTGAAGTCTTTGATTTAGATTGTTTTCTATTAGAATAATTTGCCAAGTTATATTATTGCATAAAATTACCTACCAGGGTAAAAAGTAGAAATGACAAGCCTGCCATTTACGTACCTAGGTGAAAATACACGTACAGAATGCCTAATGCTAAAGGACATCGCCGCCAATCTTTTTTATATAAATTGCAATGAGTGCGAGCGAGACAAAAATCCCTCAGTATTGCAGGTTGCATACATCAAAATTTGCCTCACTAGCATAAAGCAGTGCGCCCGTTCTAGTGTGTTAGTTTAATTCAATGTCCCTGCGTTGACAGGCGATTTTTATCGTCGGGCTGCTACAGATTCAATAGTAATTTCACATAATTTGATGAAAAGAGTCGGTGTTGCGGTTTGCCACGTCAGATGAAGTAGTGAAATGTGAGTTTTTAAAGGGCAACGCAAAAATACATGAACACCATAAATTATTATAGTTCTTGAAAAAGAGCATACCTACTTATTCCTTACCCGCTTGGTTGGAGACCCGGTCGTGGACGAGCTCGTTAGGAAGATACCACATATAAATCCACAAATAGGAAGAGTTTCTACAATCGTCACTACATTATTAATCAGTTAATTGACCTGGATAAAAACTTCCAATTCCACGGCAACTTCTGGAAACGCTGGTAGGCACACGACCAATTTTGTTCTCACTCACAAAATGTTAATCTGGGTGCGGGACCAAATTTTCAATAGCGCAAGTAGGGTGGAACCAATATTACATTTGTGTGTGTTCTTGTGAACGAGAATTAATGAACATTAGTGTAAACAATATCCTACATAAATTAGCATTTTAGTCTAAACTAGTCGGCATTATTCCTCCCACCAACACGAATGTTTCTACCCTACGAGAAAAAAAAAAGAGAAAAAAATTAGGTGAACTTTTGGATCAACTGCCAACGATTCAGTCAATTTATGTTAATAGGATCAGGGTCGGAAGTCGGACTCCAAGAAAGTGACGGCGATAGTGCTTGCAGGTCATCTAAATCGGCGGTCATAGCGAGGTCGAGACTTGAGTACAGGTGTACAATTCTTCAAGCTACAGTATTTATGAAACGATGACTCGGTAGAAGGGGGTTTCGCATGACTTGACACCTGGTGCTCCAAGGCCTTTGAATGGGTTCGAAGCTCCACGAAATAAACGGAAGGCTGTGAGAAATGCGTCCGTAGTAATAGGTGTCCAAGGTGAGTTCAAAATGCGTGAATTTTGTGGCAGAATCGCAAACGTTACAGTCGTAGATTTTTGTACCGCTTTGCCGAGAAAATGGGCCTGCTAAGTCGATGTATATATTTGCAAAAGGTTTTACGTATGACACTCGGAAATATGGGACGTCGGCCATGTACGGACTATAGGACTGAGGCTTACACCTAAAGCACCGAATAGGTACATTTTGGAAGGTAGTTGTGGATATCATTTTGAAGAGGACGTACCCAAAATTGCTGGAGCAACAAGTAATATGAAGATTTTAGACCTGGATGTAAGCTGTCCCTATGTGCCCGCTCGATTAGAGAGTCTGTGCGACTTGAACAGTAAGAGTAGGTGTTTAACGTCATAAGAAGGCCCGAATCAACGAACAAGGCCAATTTCCAGAAGGGTTCGGAAAAAAGATTATTGTTCTCGATGAGGAAGGAGGGAGGTAGGTAATCTGAGCATGTTTAACAAGAGTTAAGAGTGACGTAATGATCTTGAGGGGTGTCAAATTGCGCCGAAAAAACTCCGCGACTTGCGCAATACGCAGGATTAGATGGGACATGGCACGAAAACGAAATGGGAATTTCGCTCGGTTGGTAATGAGTGTCATCCATCGGTGTGGAGTACAACAGAGCCACGTGAGAGTAACCTGTGAATCGGACCAAGTATTGACGCCATCAAAAATTATCTCGTCAGCCTACTCACCCTGCACGAATTCTAAAAGGATTAAAAGTAAGACTGCGGCCATTAATTTTAGCTTAGGAATAGACTGAACCTTTAAAAGTCTGACTTTGCATTCGGCACACAGCAAACACGTTTTGATGCCTTAGAATACGAAAATAGGTTACTTAAGAGTAACCAACCTGACTGGCATCACAGAAGTCATGAGTACAGTTCTCGAGGTAAAATTTGCAAAATGACGTCTTGGAAACTCGTTTTTTTCGAACTGGTGGAGCTGAGACTTGAATGTATTCCAGGTTTTCAACACCCCAACTGGGGTACCGTTTACCGTTCCAAGTGATGTTGGATGTTGGCGGTCCAAAATTAGTGGACGAGCTGAGAATATTGCGCTCGGTTGATCAAGAGGTACAAAAGAGTACGAAAATACATAGGAAATTGGCTCTCATTCTTGGCCTAGGATTTTGATGAAACTAACCTCATATTCGTCAAAAGCGCAATGTTATTGAACTTTGCTAGGAGGAAGATCGGCAAGAATAGCTGGATGGTTGCTGTCCCACTTGATAAGTGGAATGTTGTCCTTTTCAAGATCTTGATGAGTTTTACCTGCGAAGAGAGTGCAGACTTGGAGAAAATTAATGACTCTCAGGTAATAATAATAATAATAATAAAGGTTTATTTATTCCAAAAAAAAACAAAAATCATCATCATCATCATCTACGTAATTTTCCTTTTTGAGAATCTTTAATGACTACGGAAAGCTAGATTCTCCTCGATTGCCGAGTTCTTGAAGACTTCTCAAAGCTAAATAGGAAGAAAGATAATGAGATGATTAGCGGTAGTATAAGATAGTGACTAGTATTCTTTAAGAGGGTGAGTTCGAGAGAACCTCCAGAGGATACTTTAAAAGTCATAATACTGGATGAAAATATGTCTGTACATTTTGACAAAATCGGCCTCGAAACAGTAAGCATGCAAGCGGAAGAAAAAAAAGCACAGAGGATATATCTCTCTGAAATTTCGGTCCAATGACGTGCCCTTCATTCAAGGAAATGCAACTCGAGCGGCGCTAAGATAAATTAAAGATGACACGGATTTTGGATCTGTAGGAGCCGTTTTCTAACCCAAAAATGCAGCACGTAGTAAGATGATTTATAATCTACTTTGGGAACCGGAGTCATGTGACCACTGGTCAAATACTCTCATGAAATCCGAGCATACACTATCGATGGTGGACTGAAGTGTGTGTCTCCTAGATTAGGGTTAGGGTGTTTAAATGGCAAGTATTACAAATCTGCCAAAGGATTCACGATGTCTAAGTGATTTGTAGTGCCCTTGCACTTCAAATCATATAAAGATTTAACACACTCAATCTCCTAGAATTTTTTCAACTGTCGTTTCAGATTTGTGCAATCCAAGAAAATATGACGGTTTAGTAAAGAAGTTGATGATTGAACTATGGAACGACGAGCTGCTTTGCGTTGAAGAATGTAACCAAAAAAAAAACATTGACACAAGCTGATCAGGTTCTCCAAATATTTTCCGGAATGAAGAAAGGGAAAAGCTCGGCATTTTTTCGGGTGTGTAAAGTTTGCTATCTGCATGGATAGATTTTGAAAGTATACCCATTCTGATCAGGTGAGAATGACCGCATCGAAATGGAAGGTTGGATCAGGCTAACCAGCAAAACTACGACTGTCTGAAGCATCCTGCATGTCAACTCCAGCTGTTAAAAGCATGACAATCGATTGCTTCTTTGACCGGCAAAGTGAATTTCATTCGCAAAATGTTAAAGAGGAAGTTCAAGTCTCGACACATTTTCGGAGAACGTGTTTGAAAAACCCCTTAGGATCATGGCAGAAATCTTCTGAATGGCATGAGCTTAAAATATAACTGACACTAAATGTTGCCGGAAAACGTCCATATTGATATCTCTGTTTTGAACGTGACATCAAGTAGTAGCCTATTATTGTCCATTATAAGAACTTTAAATTTTGTGGTAGTTTCTGGAAGCATTGCACGCGGCAGAGCCAATTCGTTCTTAAAAAATGTCAATCTCTGCGCAAGAGAGCAAGTTTAGAACTTCTGCGCAAATAGGGCACTTATCGCATTTGAATGTTTTTTGAAAGTAGATGCATAGTAATATTTTTCCCACGCACTCGGTTTCTCTTGTGGGAGAGAAATTCTGTATTTATAGTTAAATTTTAAATTTGAGTAAATTCAATATTGTACTAAATAACAATAAATCCTAAGTAAGACCTAATAATAAAAAGGTACATATTTTAATGAATTTTTTTTTTCAGCCTATGATAAAGTAAATATACTTTTGATAAGTCTGATTAGTGTTATAGTTTTGGGTGTATTTATATTGGCAGCTGTGATGTATAGGTAAATACTTATCACTCCATATGGCTTTTGTTTTTTAATCTGATTTGTAATTTGAAGGCATTATAAATTAAAAGCAGAAATTTATGCGCAAGCTTGGAAAGTAAATTATGATGATATAGCATTTTTATCCAAAGACAGAAGAAGCAGTATTCATTCTCTTCTGCCAGGAAAAGTATGATAAAATAGAAAACATAAAATATTTTAGAAAAAAAAAAAATATTTTGTTTTATTCAAGGAAATCGACGAAATGAGTTTAGTGGGAGACAGTCAGCTTTTTGCACAGATAGGTTACTATAATTCAATACGAGTAGCAATCAGAAAATTGCCTGATATCAAAATAAATTTAAGCCATAAACATCTCTTTGAACTAAAAGTTATGAAGGACTTGTCAAACGATAATTTGGTAAAGTTTTACGGAGCCTGCATTAACGGCCCAAACAACTGCTTGCTTATAGAGTATTGTCCCAGAGGAAGCCTGCAAGATATCCTGGAGAATCCCCAATACAACTTAGACTGGGCATTCAGAATGTCTCTTATAATGGATGTAGCAAGAGGAATGAGTTATCTACACAATAGTCATATTAGAACTCATGGAGCTTTGAAATCATCTAATTGTTTAGTAGACAGTAGGTTTGTACTGAAAATCTCAGATTTTGGACTTCACTTCTTGCGGGGGAACGATAAAAGTGAAGATTCGGATGAAAATTCATATCAGTACTGGAAAAGTACGTATCCATATCATTTAATTTAGAGTGTATAAAAGCATAGCTTAATTTCTAGGATTTCTGTGGACGGCACCAGAACTTCTAAGGCTGTCGAACCCATTACCAGAAGGATCGCAAAAAGGAGATGTTTATTCTTTTGCCATTATCATGGCGGAAATAATTATGCGAGAAGGCGTATTTTATATCAAGGGATCTCTGCTAGAACCAAAAGGTGAGTCAACGTTTTTTCGATGTTTTCTAGATTGAGTTATCTTCAATTTAATTAAAATAAAGTGAGTTGAATGAATGAACCATTATATTCATTCGAGAATAAATTGCTTTATGTTTATGTACATATTCGGAGTAGTTTTCACTAACCCAAAGCCATGTAACTCAGTCCAGTCTAAATTCAACCCCTATGTGTCCACGCACCTAGAGGAGGGTTACTTTGTTTTCTTATCCTAACTTATTGAGTTTCTACAGACATTCCCATACTATCTTAGAATTGATGACTGGGGAGCTCAATGATTTCATAACTGCTCATTTACAATATCCTCTGTTCAGGTCGAACTGCACGCATCTTCCGATTGCATGCAACTCCGCTTGAAAGATGCTTGGTGCTTCGCCCATTGGCTCCGAGTATCTGGTCCGTGGCACGAATACGTCTGCTCCACTCCCCTCACCAGTCTTCGAACCATCTGCATACCATTTGATGGTGTTTGCTATTATGAACTGAATAGATTCTATAAGTTCCATGTCTTTCGTGCTTAGTTCTATTGACAAGTTTTTCTCGAAGTTGAATTTCTCTCTGAATAATCGTATGTTTTGATAGATCCTAAAGGTTGCACCGATGTGAAGTTGGTGGCAAAAGATAGTAGCCAAATTTTCCGAAGATACCCGAACGCCCAGTGGCGTCGGGTCATATTTTAATCGACAGGAATTGTATTTTACCTCACTTGACTTAGTTATATGAAATTCTACTACAGTTACATATCAGCGAAAAAAAACCCATATTCTTAGGGAAATTATATCAAGGGGTATAGGAGAGGAATTTTTTTTAATGTTATTTTGTTTTTCGAAATATCTCGAAATCTGCTCGTTTCTACAGATTTATATTTGAACCACAGTTAACTTAGGTGAAGTTATTATAAAGGAAGGAGCAGAAATAATATATTGCTTCAGAAAATATTGTTAACATTTTGTGTTTCTTTGATTTAAAGAATGCCACTTCTTTAAATACGTTCAATTTAGAAGGTAAATGACGATTGACGAAATCGCGGTGAATTCAGCCTAGCACAGGACACAATTATTGGAAAATTAGAATAATTCAATTAGGTGCTGATTCAATTTTAAAAAAATATTTCACCCCAGCAACCCGGGACAAGGGGTGCTACTGAGGGTTGGAAGCATATTTTTTGAAATATCTCGAAATCTGCTCGTTTCTACAGATTTATATTTGAACCACATGTAACTTAGGTGCTGATTCAATTTTAAAAAAATATTTCACCCCAGCAACCCGAGACAAGGGGTGCTACTGAGGGTTGGAAGCATATTTTTTGAAATATCTCGAAATCTGCTCGTTTCTACAGATTTATATTTGAACCACAGTTAACTTAGGTGCTGATTCAATTTTAAAAAAATATTTCACCCCAGCAACCCGGGACAAGGGGTGCTACTGAGGGTTGGAAGCATATTTTTTGAAATATCTCGAAATCTGCTCGTTTCTACAGATTTATATTTGAACCACATGTAACTTAGGTGCTGATTCAATTTTAAAAAAATATTTCACCCCAGCAACCCGAGACAAGGGGTGCTACTGAGGGTTGGAAGCATATTTTTTGAAATATCTCGAAATCTGCTCGTTTCTACAGATTTATATTTGAACCACAGTTAACTTAGGTGCTGATTCAATTTTAAAAAAATATTTCACCCCAGCAACCCGGGACAAGGGGTGCTACTGAGGGTTGGAAGCATATTTTTTGAAATATCTCGAAATCTGCTCGTTTCTACAGATTTATATTTGAACCACAGTTAACTTAGGTGCTGATTCAATTTTAAAAAAATATTTCACTCCAGCAACCCGGGACAAGGGGTGCTACTGAGGGTTGGAAGCATATTTTTTGAAATATCTCAAAATCTGCTCGTTTCTACAGATTTATATTTGAACCACAGTTAACTTAGGTACTAATTCAATTTAAAAAAAAAATATTTCATCCCCAGCAACCCGGGACAAGGGGTGCTACTGAGGGTTGGGAGCATATTTTTTGAAATATCTTAAAATCTGCTCGTTTCTACAGATTTATATTTGAACCACAGTTAACTTAGGTAAAAATTCAATTTTAAAAAAATATTTCATCCCCAGCAACGCAGGACAAGGGGTGCAACTGGAGGTTGGAAGCATATTTTTTTTTTAATTATTTTGAAATATCTCGAAATCTGCTCGTTTCTACAGATTTATATTTGAACCACAATTAACTTAGGTACTAATTAAATTTTGAAAAAATATTTCATCCCCAGCAACCCGGGACAAGGGGTGCTACTGAGGGTTGGGAGCATATTTTTTGAAATATCTCAAAATCTGCTCGTTTCTACAGATTTATATTTGAACCACGGTTAACTTAAGTACTAATTCAATTTTTGAAAAATGTCTTACCCTCAGCAACCCGGGATAAGATGTGCACGAGACTCACTAGAGGATGAAATCGCTTTTTTTACAAATATAAAAAAAAAACAAAATAATAATTGGAGCGTGTTTTAATTTTCGATTGCTTCACATTTTTCAAGAATTTGACAGTCTAGTTTTACGCTTAAAATTTTAGATCGAATTGCTGAAAGAGTCAGAATCGGAAAACTTTTAAATTGAAAACCATCAAAATCCTCTTTAAATTTCCCCCTAAATTATTAAGCTATCGTATTATTACCGGAAAGTCTCACATATTTTTTATTGGTATCTATGCCTCTAGTCTAGACGGACTAGTCTAGACTGGTTGCTTTTTGCCATGCTAGTACAGAGGTGCGATGTGCCTATGTGTTTCTGTTAGTTCCTTGTTACATTAGATTTATTTTTTCCAATTTGATTAGGTAGGTACCTAATTGAATTATTCTAATTTTCCAATAATTGTGTCCTGTGCTAGGCTGAATTCACCGCGATTTCGTCAATCTTCATTTACCTTCTAAATTGAACGTATTTAAAGAAGTGGCATTCTTTAAATCAAAGAAACACAAAATGTTAACAATATTTTCTGAAGCAATATATTATTTCTGCTCTTTCCTTTATAATAACTTCACCTAAGTTAACCGTGGTTCAAATATAAATCTGTAGAAACGAGCAGATTTCGAGATATTTCAAAATAATTCAAAAAATATGCTTCCAACCTCCAGTTACACCCCTTGCCCCGGGTTGCTGGGGATGAAATATTTTTTTAAAATTGAATTAGTATGTACCTAAGTTAACTGTGGTTCAAATATAAATTTGTAGAAATGAGCAGATTTCGAGATATTTCAAAATAATTCAAAAAATATGCTTCCAGCCTCCAGTTGCACCCCTTGTCCCGGGTTGCTGGGGATGAAATATTTTTTTAAAATTGAATTAGAACCTAAGTTAACTGTGGTTCAAATATAAATCTGTAGAAACGAGCAGATTTCGAGATATTTCATAATAATTCAAAAAATATGCTTCCAACCTCCAGTTGCACCCCTTGTCCCGGGTTGCTGGGGATGAAATATTTTTTTAAAATTGAATAAGTACCTAAGTTAACTGTGGTTCAAATATAAATCTGTAGAAACGAGCAGATTTTGAGATATTTCAAAAAATATGCTTCCAACCCTCAGTAACACCCCTTGTCCCGGGTTGCTGGGGATGAAATATTTTTTTAAAATTGAATTAGTACCTAAGTTAACTGTGGTTCAAATATAAATCTGTAGAAACGAGCAGATTTTGAGATATTTCAAAAAATATGCTCCCAACCCTCAGTAGCACCCCTTGTCCCGGGTTGCTGGGGATGAAATATTTTTTTAAAATTTAATTAGTACCTAAGTTAATTGTGGTTCAAATATAAATCTGTAGAAACGAGCAGATTTCGAGATATTTCATAATAATTCAAAAAATATGCTTCCAGCCTCCAGTTGCACCCCTTGTCCCGGGTTGCTGGGGATGAAATATTTTTTTAAAATTGAATTAGAACCTAAGTTAACTGTGGTTCAAATATAAATCTGTAGAAACGAGCAGATTTCGAGATATTTCATAATAATTCAAAAAATATGCTTCCAACCTCCAGTTGCACCCCTTGTCCCGGGTTGCTGGGGATGAAATATTTTTTTAAAATTGAATAAGTACCTAAGTTAACTGTGGTTCAAATATAAATCTGTAGAAACGAGCAGATTTTGAGATATTTCAAAAAATATGCTTCCAACCCTCAGTAACACCCCTTGTCCCGGGTTGCTGGGGATGAAATATTTTTTTAAAATTGAATTAGTACCTAAGTTAACTGTGGTTCAAATATAAATCTGTAGAAACGAGCAGATTTCGAGATATTTCATAATAATTCAAAAAATATGCTTCCAACCTCCAGTTGCACCCCTTGTCCCGGGTTGCTGGGGATGAAATATTTTTTTAAAATTGAATTAGAACCTAAGTTAACTGTGGTTCAAATATAAATCTGTAGAAACGAGCAGATTTCGAGATATTTCATAATAATTCAAAAAATATGCTTCCAACCTCCAGTTGCACCCCTTGTCCCGGGTTGCTGGGGATGAAATATTTTTTTTAAATTGAATAAGTACCTAAGTTAATTGTGGTTCAAATATAAATCTGTAGAAACGAGCAGATTTCGAGATATTTCATAATAATTCAAAAAATATGCTTCCAGCCTCCAGTTGCACCCCTTGTCCCGGGTTGCTGGGGATGAAATATTTTTTTAAAATTGAATTAGAACCTAAGTTAACTGTGGTTCAAATATAAATCTGTAGAAACGAGCAGATTTCGAGATATTTCATAATAATTCAAAAAATATGCTTCCAACCTCCAGTTGCACCCCTTGTCCCGGGTTGCTGGGGATGAAATATTTTTTTTAAATTGAATAAGTACCTAAGTTAACTGTGGTTCAAATATAAATCTGTAGAAACGAGCAGATTTTGAGATATTTCAAAAAATATGCTTCCAACCCTCAGTAACACCCCTTGTCCCGGGTTGCTGGGGATGAAATATTTTTTTAAAATTGAATTAGTACCTAA